TCTGAGTGCCACCTAACTCCAGGTCCTGGCACACCTGCCCTTCTGCAGGGAGAGCTTCCTGCCACCAGGAGAGGGGAGACCTGTGCAGTGCAGTGGTGAGAAGCTCTCAGCGACCATCCCTGTGTGTGGACCTGCTCTGGGAACTTCGCAGGTGTTTACTGGCCAACCCCCATCCACCCGTGACATGCTGGCTCACAGAGGGGCAGAAGCCAGGTGTGGTGTGTGGTCCAGGCCAGGGGGCAGGAGGGCCTCTTCCCCAGGCCATCACCCCACCCCTGCCCTCCCCCTTTTGCTTGTGCCCATGTGCCATGCCAGCAGTGCTGCCTGGGTTCTTGCTCATCAGTCCCCAGCATCTCAGGTCACGTCACATGGCAGACGCTCAGTGGGATGCAGAGAGGTGCTGGGTGACTGGGGACCCCTTGACACACTGAGGCAGCCGTAAGGGAAACAAAACAAGACAAGACTGGAGGGCCCACATGTGTCTTGGCCAGTGCCCGGGGCAAAATGTGTAGTGTGCATTTGAGGTTGGTAAAGCCAACCGTACAAACCACATCGAGTCTTCACCTGGTGGACTTATGATGAGAATATAGCAACAGATGAGCATAAATTATTAAGAAGAAGCAGGTTTACCGACTGGAATGGGTTGGATTGTGTCCCCCAAGAAGACATGTTAAAATCTTAAAACCCCCAGTACCGGTGAATGCAACTTTATTTAGAAATAGGGCCTTTGCAAATGTCATTAGGTTAAGATGAGGTCCTTGGAGCAAGTCTTAGTCGAGTGTGTTGAGTGTCCTTGTACATGGAGGGAAGTGACCAGGGGGAGCATCTTGTGGTGGCAGGCAGCCCCCACTGAAGGTCAGGAAGCTCTCTGCCCAGAGGCTCAAGACACGTGGCCTTGACTTGGGATTCTGGGCTGCAGAACCCAGTTCGTGGTGCTTCCTTACAACAGCCCCAGGAGACTCAGACCCTGTGGAGAAGACAGGACCTGGGGGCTGGGAGGTGGGATGTGTTTGGCAGGACCCAGGAAAAGACCCAGGTCGTGGACATGGGAAAGCCCTGTCAGAGACCCATGGCCGACGACAGGGAAGACCAAGTGTGATGCTGTGGTCCCCCCTTGGCAGATAGAGAAAGGGCTGGGGACGTCAGCTCTCTGCACCTGTCAGCTCGCCACCTCAGCAGAGGGGGGAGTCCAGAGCCGGATCCGACCCTGGTGACTCCCGCAGGACCCCTGGGGGCATGTCTGGGCGAGTGCCCACCCCAGGGCTCCTTCCTGCAGCAGGGCCATAACAGAAGAAAGTGCTTCCGGTGGGAACCCCTCGAAGCCCTTCAGACCTGTATTTCCAAGAGGAGAGGGAGAGAACAAGGTTCTGGGATCTGAAAAGCACAGGGAAGAGCCGTCCTAGACGCACGGTCAGAACACGCTCTGGGGGACAGCGGGTGCTTCCTGCCCTCTGTGGCCTCAGTTCCTCTCCTTCCCGTTCCTCAACCACGTCACTATCCTCGGAGACCATGATGTCCTGGAGTGCTGTGCCCGGTTGTGCTGTGCGTGGAAACAGTGCACTGGCCGCAGCGATGGGGATGGGGGGACTGTGGGGGGTCTTGTGAGCAGAAACCACATCTCAAGCTGTCTGCAGGCAGGGCGGCTGGAGCTCTGTCTGTACTGAGCTCTGTCACCTGGGCCCACTCCTTTCCACTTTCATAATTTCATAAGTCACTGAAACCTCCCTGGCTTCTGGTTGGGCCCCAGGCTTCCTGACTTCAGGGACTTCTCTGCATGCACCAAGGGCCTAATTCTCCCCTTTTGTACCAAAAGGGGGCAAATAACTCAGCCCGCACAGGGGTTGCCTTCTCCTGAGGAAGGAAAAAACCTTTTCCTTATGTGATTTGCAAAGTGTGGCTCAACCCAATTCCTACTACAGCAAAAAGAAGTACTGGAAAATATTTGAGCAATCTTCCCAGTCGGCCACTCGGGACCGCCCTGTGCACTTGGCTGTGTATGTCCTAGCACATCTGTGGAAAAGAGTCTATATATATATATATATATATATATATATATATATATATATATATATATATAGTGACACTTTTAGTCTTAGGCTCCTTTGAAGATACAGCAGTGTTATTTTTTCAAAATGGCTTGGCCGTCTTTCTGTTTGGGTGATGGGCACAGCCCACCACTCTCTCGTCCTTAGGAGAACAGAAACTGTGGGAGGAGGAAGGCTATCCCCACATAGCACCTCCTGAGATGAGTATGCACAGAGTCATCTGCTGAGCAGAGAATGGCTGAGCGCCACGTGCAGTGCCCAGGGTGCCTTCAGTCCTGGGGCACACGTTGCCAGCTGGGGTGCAGACGTGATGTGTGTCCCCCATTTTACTCATATTACAAGAAAACTCCTCAAAAATGAGCCTTCACTGTCACCCTGATGTCTGATGACAGACACCTCATTTCAAACGATGTGCCCTCCGTGTTCCCTGAGCCCTGTGACAAGCCTGTTTGTCAAATGTATGGAACACTTTTGTTTATGATAACTTGTGGTTAATCATTCACTGAGGACACGAGTCCTTTGTACCTATTATTGTCAACCATTTGTTTGGACTGTGTTTGACCCTTTGTACCCAAGTGGTCTGTGCTGGAACCTTCTGAAAACAAACCACCCGGTGGCTATATGGGTAGGGACTGAAATCTCAGGGCCCTGTCCCTGCCCTGGCCCGCTCTGTCAGAGGGAAGAGTCAAAGCCACAATCCAGTAGCAACAGCAGAAGCCCCGTCACTCTGAGATAAACAGATTAATGCTGGGCTAGATGTAGGATTCTGAAAGGCAATTTAACAGGTGTTTTTAAAATGGATGGCCATCCTAACCAAAAGGGTCACGTGGAAGGCATGCAAAATAAAAAATTATCAGGCTGACATCAGATTGCACTCCTCTGCTCTGTACGTGACAATCAAAGTCCTTCCCAGCACCATGCAGGGGAGTATGTTCCCACACCCGAAGGCCCCGTGACCCGAGGACCTCAGCTTCCAAACAACAACCTGGTTCAAAGGAAGAACAGTGAGTCACTGCACCTCAGGTGACCATTCACCCACAGACACCTCTCAGATGAGCGGCTGTCTCCATGTGTCAAGCTCTCCTTGTTCGCTCGTTCAGACAATAAAGGTTTAATGTGAGGTTGCCGAGTGAGGTACCTGGCAAACATCGGCTGGGGTGACCCAAGACCTCCAGGGATGCATAAGCTACACTGGGCATAAACATGCCCACGTCCATGTGCAGGCCACACGACTGACGCAGACGGCCACTGCCCAGAGTTCAGACCAGGGCTTGTGCCCGCAGAGTTCAGGGCCATTTCACAGACCAGCAGAGTGGCAGGGAAGGAATGGGGAGTAAGATCCCTGCAGGATGGAAATGCCAGAGAGGATTAGAGGCAGTAAGGCGCTTGCTCTCTCTCTCTTTTGTTAGTACTGAAGATTGAAACCAGGGATTCTTTACCATTGAGCCACAAGCCCACATTTTTTACTTTGAGACAATCTTACTAAGTTGCTGAGGCTGGTCTTGAACTTGAGATCCTCCTGCCTCAGCCTCCATGGTCACTGGGATTACAGGTGTGCACCACCACAATGTGATATTGACCGATACTATAACATTTTCACATTTGAACTTCTGAATTTCCCTCTGAGAGATCTCACAATTTAATTTCTTACTTAATTTCAGAGTATGCGAATCTATGTAAATACACCAGTCAAGAAGTCTTGGAAACTTTAAAATTCCTTTGGTTTGCCTGAGCTCTGACTTGGCCAAGAGATGCTGATGGGGATGGTAGTGAGTGTGACCCTCCCTGGCCATTCCTAAGGCCATCCAGTGACGACCTTCTGGCCCCTTACAGCAACAGATTATCAGACTTAAATAGCTCTCCACCAAGGCAATAGGATGAGAGAGTGGAAATCTGATTTTTGCTAAAAAATAATATTTGAAATGTCCATCAATGAAGAGCTTCAATGTTCAGGAACATCGTTCCACTGGGTCCTCCCTCACCTCTGCAAACAATATACGATTCTCCTGTGTTACCCGATGGGCAAAATGGAAACACACACACGCACACACATTATCACGCATTATCTGTTTCTCTGGAGAATCAGTTTAACTGGGCTTGAGAAGAAAACCAATAAAGGCTGATGAAAATCCCGTGCTGCCTCAGCAATCCCTCATTCCTGTAAAAATATTTATAACCGCATCATGCAACTGAGAACCAGGTTTCACTCCCAAACAATCACTCGTCAGGAAACTCTGCTCTCAAGTTTGGCTTCATGCTGTGGTCACAGGTTAAAGTTCTTGCTATCACTGATCACTGCGGACTTAGGAAATTAAGAACCCTTTGGGATATTTTCTTTACATAAACCCAACCACAAATATGCTTAGCTATTTCCTTCACTAAAAATGCTTTGGAATTTCCATGCTTGTGTTGAAAGGGAAGGAAAAGGCTGTCTTTAGAAGTGGGGGTCCCAGCTCTAACTGCACTTTTCCACGGTCAGCAGGTCACATTCGGATGACCTCACGTACCCCTCAGGAGACACGTATCGAGCGCACGCTGCATTCCAGGACGGCTGCCTGTTGGAATTGTATTATCTCAGAGATAAAGGGACGCTTATTTTGTTTCTGGTGGGAGAGATCCCCTCAAAAAGGGACAGCTATAAAATGAGGTTGCATTTAATCCTCTCCTCAACTAACACAAGCGCTGAGTCCGGGAAATACAAAGGAGAACGCTTCCCCATGAAGTCTTGCCCAAAAGGCCCCTCATCCAAACCAGGCCTTATGCCGTGTAACTGTATAAGCATCGACATTATCACTACCCAAAATCTGTTTAAATAAGACCATCTGCAAAAGTATTGCAAAACTTCTTTTATGGTTCTGATTCATCTTATGGATGATTCTCTTCAGATGTTTGAAAACATAAGATTCTAACACTTGTGAAAAAATAACTCTGATTGCTTTGTTGTCTTTGATTATCTTAAAATTTTGCTTTATTTTAATCTAAAGGCTAAAAACATCTCAAAACAACAAGTTCAATCTTGATCACTTATGGGACAAAGGTTTGAACAACCTAAGAGCTCGGTAAAAACTTCATTAAATATAATTCACATACCATAAGATTTATTGCTTTAAAGTGTGCAATTCAGTCACTTTAGCTTAATCACAGAATTGTAAAGCCATTGCCACTCTCTATTATCATCCCCAAACAAAACACATCCACAGATCACCCTCGTTTCCCTCCACACCCTCATTCTCTCAGCAACAACTAATTGACTTTCTGCCTTTGGATTTGTGTATCCTGGGCATTGGGATATAAACAGAAGCACAATTTGTGGCCGCTTGTTGTTCCTTCTTTCACATAGCATAATAATGTCAAGGTTCGTCCCTACTGGAACATGAAACAGAATTGCACCCTTTCACAAAATATCCAATAAGCATTCTATTGCACAAACACACTGTGTTTTGTTTATCCATCCATCTGCTGATGAACATTTGAGTTACTCCCAATTTGGTTATTATAAAGCTGATAAGAACATTTGTGTGCAGATTTTGATGTAGACACCATTTTCAATTCTCATGAGCATAAATCTAGCTGTAGAATTACTGGTCACACGGTAACTCTGGGCCTGACATTTGGAGGAATTATCAACTCTTTTCCAAAGTGGCTGCACCATTTTACAGTCCCACCCATGAAGGACAGGGGTTCCAATTTCTGCACATCCACACAAGCCGTTGCTTCAGAAAGATTTCTGTACCTGCATGAATGTTCAGGAACATTCTGAGATAATACAATTTCAACAGGCAGCCCTCCTGGAATACAGCATGCACTCGATACGGGTCTCCTGAGGGGTACGTGAGGTCATCAGAATGTGACCTGCTGACCATGGTCTATGGAAAAGTGCAATTAGAGCTGGGACCCCCCACTTCTAAACGTCTTGAAAAACGTCTTGATTCTAGGAATTCACTTCAAAGAACATGATGAAAACACACCATGCCAGTCTCACGGGGGAAGGCAAGGAACGAAACCTCTTTTTATCCCAACAGCTTCTTGATCACTGCCCCATCTGTGCACCAGGTCCTGCAGCACTGTACTCTCACCACGGCATGCGGACCCTCAGACCTCTCCTGAGTGCCTGGAGGAGCATCGTTTGGGGCCTTCAATGACATCCCTGACACAGGCAAGGAATATGGTTTCAGACCTTGAGAAACCACACGATACACGTCCTCAGGGCTGTGACGGAGAAGAGCTTACCACACACCCGTCTCATGGTCTGATGGGATATTCTAAATGGAATTTTATCTTTACTTAGGATTGCTGTGTACCTCCTGTGAAGTCTGTATGCAGATAGAGGTTTGGTTTTGTTTTGTTTTTATTTTGTTCTGTTTTACTGCTAATGACCAAATAGTTTCCTTAGGCATATTTCATGGAAAAAATTATGATGCTGGGCAGTGGCGCACACCTGTAATCCCAGTGACTCAGGAGGCTGAGGCAGGAGGACTGAAAGTTCAAGGCTAGACTCAGCAACTCAGTGAGGCCCTAAGCAACTTAGGAAGACTGAGTCTCAATATCCAAAGCGAAAAGGGCTGGAGATGTGGCTCAGTGGTTAAGCGCCCCTGGGTTCAATCCTTAATACAAAAAATATATATATATTAAAAGGTTTAGAGTCACAGCTTGCTCCCCAAGGATCATTAGAAACAACAAACCCAATGAGTCCCAAGAATTCTTTATCTGAATGTCATATTCAATATCTTTCCCCTTTTAAAGTTAGGGAATATTGCTTGTGACACTAAAATACCTTAAATTCTACCCAAATTCTGTACTGTGAAGATTTACATTGTGGAGAGCTCAGCTTTACCCGCTGCAGAGAGAGCACAAGTGGGTAGAATGTGTGGTTTTAGATAGAAGGCCTGTGTGAATGCAGACCAGGTCTTAGGAGATTGCAGGAGGGTCCTAGGCGAATCACCTTGGGGAGCTGAGCCCATGTTGTTCTCAGTGGCTGTTAACTTGCACACACATGTGCTATCACACAAATGCTCACACACACATGCACACATGATCCATGTATTCTACTCCTGTAATTCAGGAGCTAGACCCAGGGAGCTTTGCAGGTCCTGGCTCGTTTTTATCCTTCAAAACTGTCTGCTAAATAGTCGACAGTATCTGCTAAAGTCACTGGATCTCACGACACTCAGCCTATCCGTTCTCCGTGTCCACACCTTTTAACTCGGATTGTTCTGGGCCAGAGCTGATGGCTCTTCCTCAGGAACAGAAAAGGAGCCAGTGGAAGGAGGTTCCAGTCCCTCTCTGGGGTCTTCTGTTTGTGACTGTCTCCTGGTGCTGGCCGACGTCTTCACACTGGACATGACTAACCCGCTGTGCACCTCCCTCTTGCTAAGGGCCCTGGAGGCCGTGGCTGAGTCTGGTGAAAGATCACAAGAAGCCCCTTATTGCCTGAAGTTCACTGTTAGAATTGGGGAATCTTTACATGTGACCTCAACTTGCCCAGGCCACCTTCTACAAGAAAGCAAACTGGGAATGTCATGTGTCAGCAGCTTTGTGAAGACCTGCTTTCTCTAGAAGGTAAACAGGAGGGCAAGCCCCGGATCTGGATCACCCTTGTGTCCCTAGTGCCTACCAAAGACAAGTGTTTGATAAATGTGTAACTACTGATGACTGTCATCCTCCACACACTTGTGAAAAACAAGAATTCTGCTTACGCTCTGGTGCAGTGCGGGCTCCATGTGGTCGAATCATGCAGGTGACAGGGACCCCCTCCCATGGCTCTTCAGAGGGCTTGTGTGTCTGTGTGCACATGCGCACTGCCCGGCACTTAACGGGTGCTGTGTACTTCCTTGGGGTTGCTTTTAGTTTAAGGAAATGATCTGTGTGAAATAAAGATGTTTCCACCAAGTTTTAGTCAAATGGGGTTGATATACAAAAGAGTATTAAAAATTCAAACATATTTACCTTGCACATGAATGCAAATGACTTTAACATAGGCTGAACATTTAGCTTATTTAAAATAAATTATTAATTGAGTTGGTAACCAAAGTTCAAACAAATGCGTGACCATGAAGTGACTAGTCATTCTCTGTCCCTCTTGGCTAGACATCAGCAGATGGACCAGAGGCTGCGCTCACAGGCTCTGCCTGTGCCGGCTTCCATGTGATGACGTGATCCATCACTGGAGAGTGTGTCTTGGCCTAAGTTCGATGTTTCTCCACAATTTTCCTGTTGAACACGGGGATGTACACTCCGGAGGCTCTCCATAAATATTAAGCGAACCAATAATTGGGAAAAAACCACATGCCTTTTTTTAAAACCCAGGCCTTTGTGAGGTTTTAACTTGATGACACTACCATGTAAAATTTAATAAGAAGAAAATATAATCTATGGTGAATTACTTTTCATTTTAAACTTCACTTTAAGGTTTGTTCCAATCAAAAACTTTACAGGTTTCAGATGATTTATATTTTTACCTTTTAATGAAATCTAGAAAAACATCCAAATTCCAGCATCTCTCTAATTTCCCCTTTCTCAGATCTCTTATTCCATGTGTCCATTTGACCTGGCTGTATCCTGCTCTACCTGACTCAGGTAGCTGGTGAGTATGTCCATGGCAGTGCACGGGAAGATTCAGCTGAGTGCAGATTTTTCAAAAGGCCTCGTTCATAAGTAGTCAGTGGAACAGCGGGTGTGTCCTTCTCAACCCGCATGGGCAGTTTGCCTTCAGTCCGTTGGCCACCATGAGGGCACTGCACAGAGGAGTGGGTAGAGCAAAGCCAGGCACCTGCAATGGCCAGCCAGGGGCCTCCCCTCAGAGCCCCGGCTCGAGGGCCATGTTGTCCTAGTAGAACACACAGCTGTTTTTCTACACAGCTGGTCACCATGATTTAGTGTGCACAAATCAAGACCTTTACTTACCTAAGAACAAATCTATGCATGGAAGAGTGTTTTCAGAAAAAGAGACTCAAAACTTCCAAAGTTGTTACCTCAATGCAGTGCTTTAGCCAACTTCCCATACAACAAGATGAACCACTTCTGGCACGGTAAGAATTGCTGTCATGTGGGAAAGTCTCAAGGCAAGCAATCTCCTGCGATTTTTCTTTCTGGATTGAAGAGAACCTAGGTGAAGCCCTGGCCACCGAGTTCCAACAGCACGGGGCGTTTCCTCCGAAGAGGGATTTTTTATTTGCATTATTTGAAAATAGAAATGTTTTCATGCCTTTCCCTGACCCACGCCAAAAAGAAACGACTCTAACAAGCTGTGGACAAGGGACACGTTCCACAGATGAAGGCTTGCGAAGGGGGCTCCCGCGACACTCCGCCACAGGTGCCCAGGAAGCCCGGCGGCCTTCCCAGCTCCTCTCCGCGTGCTATTTATGTATTCTCATTTGCATGAACCTACTCTAAGGTTTTGCCCGGTTGATTTTTCAAGTTAATGATAGGGCACTTGGGGAAAGATTAATGTCAGGAATGCAGAGGTTCAGCAAATTGCTGAGGGTCCCCCACACAATTAATCTCTCCTTCCTAATCCAAAAGTGCGAGGATGAATGAGAGGAAGCGTGATGATGTCGCTGGTGCAACGCTGCAGGAGTGTGGGGCCAGCTCTGCAAGCGACGGCAAGCTCCTGCCCCTGGAAGGATCTATAAATCACTCCCTGCCCCCGTGTCGCGCTTTCCTGCCCAGCCGTCTCCCGTTGGGTGGTCATCATCTGGGTGGCAGCCCTGTAAGAAGGACTCTGGACCAGCTGAGACAGCATCTCAATTAAGGCAGCCGCCAAACTCTGGATGCCATGGATGCCACTAATACCATCTCCTTATTTCCGCTTTGTCACCGTGAGCTGCAGAAATTCTTTCCAGCAAGGTGCCCTGTGCATCAAATGTGTCTTCCCTCCAGGAAGTGCTGTGTCATAGACAAGGGCCATACTCTCAATGGCTGCCTGGTGTGGCCCAGAATCAGCAGGGAGACAGGAGGCAGGTCTCCACTGCACCCGTCTTAAGCCCTTCACTCCTGAGCCCCGAGGCTCTGGGGAGCTGGGGGGAGAGGGACGGCTCTGCCCCTGGAGGAGAGGTGTGGCATATCGCGGGCAAGAGAGTGCTCTGCATTGCGAGGGCCTTGCCAGTCCGCAGCCTGCTCCCCTGCCTCTTGAGCACCGCCACCCTCTTCTCCAGGAAGTTTTCTAAGCCTATCCTGAGCATGCCCTGACCCCCTCTATAAAATATTAGCCCAGATTTGTGACCTCGCTCAGGAATAGAACCACAGACATGGTCACTGTGCTCCCCTCCCCTCCACCGGGGGAGCCTGGCACTAGCTTAACCACAGGCCTCCTGAACAAGGTGGGCAGGACCTGTCCAGCCACAGAGCCCTGTGCCCAGTGCCCTGACCCCCTGTGTCCAGCAGCCTCCCTCTCTCTGATGGGCTCCGATGGGCTGGGCTGTGGGCGGGCAACTCGGAGACGAGCCTGGATTATAGAACACAAATAGGAACTTTGCTTTTTGAGAACAAAACAAAACAAATAAAAACACATTTTCCCTGTCACTCTAGGTCCATGGCAATCTGGAGGGGACATGCACTGTTCAGGGCTGAGCCACCTGGCTTCAAGACTAGCCAGGGCCAGGAAGCAGGAGTCCTGGGAATGCAGCTGCCATGCTGGGCTCTCAGGAGTGACTGACCTGATGGCAGCTGTCGCAGGGAACCTGGGCCCCAGAAGTCGGGGCGCGGCTGCCCAGGCTCAGGAGAGCAGACCCCTGATGGCAGCCCTCCTGCAAATGGGCTCATCTGTGGCTTATGACACGGATGTCGCTAATACCGTCTTCTTATTTCCGCTTTGTCATCCTGAGCTGCAGAAATTCTTTCCAGCAAGGTGCCCTGTGCATCAAATGTGTCTTCATGTGCTCAGCATGTGGACAGACAAGCCCAGTTTGAGGGACCTTACCCCTCACAGGAATTAGAGGGCTGTCCCTGTCACCGATGTGGACCAAACTGCTGAAGAGCGCCCCCCACAACTAATGTCCCCTTCCTGTTCCACAGTCCTTCTTATAGTCTCTGTCCCTGGGAGGTTCTGGACAGGGGTCGAGGCCCCATGCAGCCTCCCATGGTTTGGTAGATGGATCTGTGACTCTCTGAGTCCATCGGGGCTGCTGTAAGCACCTTGAGCCTGGGCACTCTGTCGGAGCGGAGATGTGTTTCTCCCAGTTGCAGGGGAGCTTGGGGGGCGGGACTCCAACAGCAGGTGCCGCAGGCAGGCTCAGGGTCTGATGAGGCCTGCTCTCTGCTCTCTGACAGAGCCCTGGGGGCTGTGCCCACAGGGGCAGGAGGAACAGAAGGGTGGAAAGAGGCCTAGCTAGTTCCTGCCAGCCCTTGTGACCTGATCACTTCCCCAAACCTCTTGCTCCCACTACAAGGGAGGCAGCTCAACATGAATTGGGGGACACCATGACAGACTCAACCAGGACTTGCCTTCTGCCGCACCCCGCATCTGCCCAGCACGCGGTTGCACGCGTTAGACTCCAGGTCAGGGGGAGGGGTCAGCACTGGACAAAATCCCATTGTGAGCCTGGCCGCTGCCAGGGGCTCAGTGAGCCGGTGGCCTCTCCCAGTGCTGCTCCCGGGGACCACCCAGCTCTGCGCGGGGGCTGAGAGCCACATGTTGACGTCAGTCACGTGTGTTTATGTCTGTGCCTGAGTCTAAACCATCAACTCCAGGACCCGAGGCCCTTGAGAAGGCTTTCATCCCATCGCCTGCTCCACAGCCCAGATAGAAAACGACCTTGAAATTCCAAAGCCTCTTTGTTGTTCCAGGGAAGAAAAAACACAGGTCAGAGAGGGGACTGCTGGGGCTGGACCTTCTCCTTGCCCTTACATAAGAGCGGCTTGTTGATCCCCTCGGAGTTTAGCGTGAGCCTTAGGTGGAGTGCCAAGCTCACCCATTCAGGCAGACAGGACCAGCTGCCATACAGCTGCATACAGCCCTGTCCCTAAACACACTCTGACAGTCTCGGGTGGAAGTGGCTTCAGGGCCGCTGTGTATTGGTGTCATAGTTGCGAGCAGACAAGGGCTTGGTCAGGCCACATGGCCCCCATACAGAGCACTGCACAGGTCCTGTGTTTGCATGTGCTAGGGAGGGGTACTGGATCATTATGACACTGACCCCCACGAGGTAAGTGTGTGACCCTCGCACACAAAGGAAGAGAAAATGGTCCACAACAGGACCACATGCACACTACCTTTCTCTGGGGTCCCAGACACCTTAGGGGGTGAAGAAAAACAGAACTACAGCCAATTATAAAAAATAGTCCTTTCTCAGAGGCTCGGGAGACTAAGGAGGGAGGATGGCAAATTCAAAGCCAACCTCAGCAACTTAGCGAGGCACTAAAAAACTCAGTGAGATCCTGTCTCTAAATAAAATATCAAAAGGACTAAGGATATGGCCCATTGGTTGAGTGTCCCTGAGTTTAATCCCTGGTATCAAAAATTCAAAAAAAAATCAGTCCTTTCACTTCTGACCTCTGATACCCACCAGCATTTGGGTTGCCAAGTGCATCTTTCCAAGTAATACAAAGGAGACCAAGATGCCAATATCACCACCAACCCAAGTGCCAGGAGAACAGCCTCCTCATTAGGCCCCAGCCCCAACCCCAAGTGCCAGCCCCAGCCAACTGGATCCTGATCCAAGCAGAGCAGAACAGAGTCTTCTCAGGACTGGTGTTAAACACAGAGGCCGAGGCCACGAGAGCCAGAGTCACAGAGTCAATCCTCATTATTCCCGGATAACGTGTCTGCAAATACACCTTCTCATTAAATCACAAGTCAAAGTCACAACAAATTGAAAGACTTCCGCTGGCTTTTGTTCTTGATTCTGGAGTTGAACAGCCTCAGAATAAGAAGATGTTCAGGGAATTCAGGCCTGTGAAGTCGACAGACAGCATTTATGGACAGAGAACATAAGTGGCACCAGACTCCTCAGTGGGTTATGACTCAGTGTTTGATTGAATCAACAGGCCACAGGGGCTGGCTGAGCCTGCCACTGTGAGGGAGGCCAGTTCATGAGCACACTCCTATGGGCACACACAGCTGGCCCCCGTACCAAGCCAGGTCACAGCTGACCACACTTGGAATTAAGCAGGAGGCCTCCCCAGGCACAAACTGGATTTAATTTAACGAGGCACTTTCTCCTGCCCTCAAGGATGTGTGCAGAGCAACAAGCCAAGTCACTTAGATGCCGGTGCTCCCAGCAGGCCCACCAAGGCGCCTCCCCGCCTTGCTCAGCCCCCGCACTGCGCACCAGAGCCTCCTGCACCTTTCAGCTACCATGTCTTGGGTTCTGGTGCTTTTCAGTGGTGATTTCACTGTTTTGAATGGCCCAAGCACCATGCTAACATACTACCCAATTTTCCTAAGCGGATAAGCCTCCACTGTCCACTCCCAAGCCAGGTAAAACAGAGTGTGTTGGAGAAGCTTCGTTCAGACCTAAGACAAGGTACTATTGTCCTTGAGGTCCGTGTTTATGGATCAACAGTTCATGGGACATAAGGTGTCTTTCAGCAGAAACATGGATAAAACAAATCTGTCCATCATTCGATGAAAACATGGCCAGAGGCACACAGGAGCGGATTCTCCACTTCCTCATGAAGCAATAGTTCAGTATTTGACAATTCAGTGTTTGAGGCAAGTTAATAAAATGTTGTATCTGTGGATGATGAGAATCAGCTATAGACTGGTCCAGGCAGGTAGAAGCCCAGAACTTGACCTTCAGAGAGCAGCAAGAAGGTGGTGATGAGATGTCTGCAGGAGAACTTCCTCATCGTTGTCCCCCCTGCAGCCTGGTTGTGCATCCTGGCTGGTCCCTTCGAAGTCCCTGCACCCAACCAACCACTGTGCATGGGGACTCACGCAAGTGTGGACGCTTCTCTGTTCCCCGCATACAGGTTCTGTTGATGGAAACTACCCTGAAGTAACCAGCAAACTCCTCATAAGATGATTCACAAACTGAGTCATGCATGAAATACAAACAGATATTAGACCATGACAGTTATTTTCATCCTTGGCCCTGACACAATGCAAGAGAAATTATCAGATAAAGTTTTAGATCCTGGTCCACAATGTAATGACCTGTGTTTCCATGCACTGAGTTTCTAGTTACCATGAATTTCCTTGAGAGAACTCTTCCTTCCTTCCTTCCTTCCTTCCTTCCTTCCTTCCTTCCTTCCTTCCTTCCTTCCTAAGGGAAGGACTAGAAGGGCACTATTTTAAAGTCTCCCTATAGTTGCCCACTAAAGAAATGTCTCCTCCCTTTTATGCTTTACTACAGCCAAAAACAGAAATCTTGAGAACAAGTTGAACTCCCTCTGCCACAACACACCAATGCAGAGCCAAAGGTCACCTGACATCAGAGTTAATAGACAGCATTTTGATTAGACAGTTTTACGAGAAACACAAACTTATTTGGCTTTGCAAAGCTTCTTTCATTTCTTTGCTCTTCAGGATAATTTGTGCATTATATGAAAAATCAAAGCAAATCAGGAAAGATCCAAAAAAAAAAATCTAACATATCTCCCCATTTATTTACCTGCTGTGATTGAGAAGTTAATCATTGCTATAATTTATAGAAGGACCACTCTGCCGACTGTGTCAGGTAGGATCGCTGATGCACTTGACATCTTGTAAGGTTGTTATCACGAGCTCCATTTACGAGAGGAAACCGAGGCAGCACACAGATTTGAGGCGTAGACCCAACCCACAAAGCTGGTGCTACAACCCCTCTGCTTAACTTCAGAGCCCAGCTCTTTCACTTGCCTGTCATTGTGGACAAGGGGAGCGTAGCTCCCACAAACCAAGAATAACCAGCATGTGGCATTGCCCACACATCCACAACACCACCACCATCCCACACAACCGTGGCACCCACCCGAGACTAGCAAACTGACCTCTTCATTTCAAGGACATTCACCCTTGTCTTCCCAACAGCAGGGTGCCTGGGATGTCACTGGGGCTGGCCTCACCTGGGCCCAGTCCTGAAGGGCCTCTGCACTGCCCCCAACCCTCCTCTCCCTGGAGTCGGCTCCACCCCACAGGTGGTGGCTCTTAGGCAGAGGAGAGTGAATCTGGAGAGCCCAGTGTCACCTGCTTCAACCTGGCTGATGTGCAGTAAATAGAGACAAGCCTTTCTTGTCTTCCAGAATATGTCACACTTCACACACACTTTAACAAGCACGAGGCTTGACTAATGTGCAAAGTACAAGAAAAAAACACACAACTGGGAATATTGTCCTCCACGGTAAATTTGGCATTTTCTGTTAAGAGCACTTCTAGTACGGATATATGGTGTGCGCATGTGTGTGACCCACTGACTGTCACTGTGGCACCAGTGACATCCAACACATGGCAGAGGTTTTGATACAACCTAATGATGTCCACACTGAACTCTACTCACAGGATCTTGTCCACTCCAGCCCACAGGGACGTCCTCCTCGGTTTTCCACTTCACGAATTGTGTGTGTGTTGGTGCTCAAGGTATAAATGAGATAAATTCAATGGCCTTACTCTGCAGGGAAAACCCAAACGGGAGCCAATGCCTGCTCGTCAGTCCTCACCATCCCTCTCCACCCCCCCAACACCCCCACCCCGCTCTGGGGTCTCCTCGGGTTGGCTGTGTAAACTGTGTAAACACAGTTCTTACAAAACACTGTGACTAAGTGCCCTTACTCATTTCTGTTTGTCAGGGAACACCAGCTCCAAAATACACTCTGCCCTCGCTGCAGTGACAGACAAACCCCATTTTTCCTCCTTAGATCTCACCCAGGGGGCAACCCGGCGCCTGCCTTAATCCCAGCCCATTGTCCTGGAGGGGAACAGAGTTGCCTCTGACAACAGATCGAGGCAGCATCCCCCAGAATTAGGAATTCCCTCACAACTTCCACCCACTCTGTCCTTTATCTCTCAATGAAACACAATGTCATAAAGCGAGTGTGTCAATGGCTTTCTAGAATTGCTCTAACTGAAACTTGAGCTTTAGCCTCTGAACTTGATGTTGCGAAACTTCACTAGTAATACAGTTCAGCCCTCTATTCCTAACTGTCCACACCAATTTCTGTTGCCCTCAGAAAAAGGAAAAAGGAAAAAGCTGTCTCACATGAAAGTCACTCAAAGTTCCCAGCACAAAGACAGCAATTTCCACATACACGTTCTGTTTATCAGCTTACACTAAAGCTAGAACAATTTCTGGCTGGTTTTCCCCTTATTTCTCTCCTCTTGTTTTATTCTCTTGGTCCCTGAACAAATGCCGAATCATGTCCAGGAAACGTGGCTGTGTGCGCCTTGGAACCACTCGGTTCCCTGGCTGGAGACAGCACTGCTGCCCACCTGGAACTCTCCTCAGCACATCACAGCTCTGTTCCCTTTACAATGTGGGCTGGGGACCAGCCTTTTCCACGCTACTGACACAGTCTGTATGTTACTACATTTAGATGTGTTCTGGAGTGGTGCGAAATGGAGAAAGTGCCAGCAAAATAAGTAGAGAAAGGCGAATGGTATTTGTGGCCTGGCTTCAGGGAGGCAGGCAGAGAGCGGTGACTGTTTACCACCTCACTAAGGTGGAAAGGCCTGGGAGACCTCAGAGGAAGTTGGGGCGAAGTCAGCTCTGCCAAAACCCAGTTCTCAGTTCCAAGGAACCCTGGGGAGGCTGAAGGGGAGAACTCGAGCCAGATCCTCGCATCTCAGCTTTTGCATTTCTTTGTCTGAACTTCTTCACTTGTGAGATACGATACCATCTTCCTACTTAATGGTATTATAAAATGATCATCGAAACATGGTAAATTTGAATTATCTGTGCACAACTTGAGTCTCCAGTAAATAGTGGAGGAAGGGGAGGTGGCAATCCGAAGGCACCCATAGGATAATTGCACCAGAAGCCATCATCAGCGGGTGTTTGGGAGGCACAAATCATTCCATGGACAACTTGATTGCTTTCTTGATGGAATTGCAAGATTTACAGATGAAAGAGACGTCTCGGATGATGGTTGCAATACATTTGATACAGTGTTGTGCATAAACCCCACTTGCAAAATATGTTTGTGTACATTAGGAGTGTCATGGGAACAAAGAGCCAGAGATGGAGCAGGGAAAGACCAGGAGCAGATGGCTGTGCCCCTGGCTCTAAACCCAGCTCACAGCAACAACCACCTTTTCTTAGGGGTTTAAAACTCTGCTGAAATTCAGCAGTCGGAGGTAACGAAACACGTCAACCCTGTTGAATATTTGAAATTTCTGAAACTGCAAAATATCTTTGGGACTCTGGATAGACCCATTTCTTAAGCAAAAGTTAAGAGATGCATAAAGCTCCGGTGATGTCAGGAGCAGGGTAAGTGCCATCAGGATGGCGGAAGCCTGTGTTAGAGGCACTCGTAAAACTGACGGTTGAAGGCAGCGCAGGCCAAGGACGCCGAGGTACAGGCAGAAGTCAAGGAAACTCACTATCCGTCAGTGATGCCCGGTCCCTAGTAGCAGTGAGGCTGTCAGTGGGGAAGCGACTCAGGATGGGTCCACTGTAGGCACCCCCCACAGCGAGCTCCCACAGTGGGCCGTGGTACAGACGCAAAGAGCCATGTGCTGAGAAACAGGACTCGCCCGGCTGCCTTGGGCCTCCCACCGAAAACAGCTGTGCATTGCAAATTCTGAGCAAAATAACCTCCAATTTAGAACTCCACACGAGGTCAAGTGCAAGGAGAAATAATGAGATTTTAAGTACTGTGAGGGCCAGGGCGTGGAAGTCTACGGAAAGAGGGGGAAAGCAAATCACCAGCTTTAGTTACGAGGGTTTTATAAGAAAGGACACGTCAAGTGTGGCCCCTGGCCCTGCTGGGTGTGCCGACGGAGGGGTGCTCCTGACCCACCCACCCACCCACCCTGCCTGGCGACTGGGGTGCTCCTGACCCACCCCGCCTGGCGCTGGAAGTGCAGGTGAGGCGGTGAGAGGAGGTGACCACCAATCATAGCAGGAAGAAAATTGGACCTGCCTTAGGTGACGGAGGACTAATCAGACTGGAGACGTGCAGCAGGTGGCGAGAGCGAGGCCGCCAGGCTCCGTGGAGTGGGAGCTAAGTCCCTGTGGCTGGCTTCCGTCGCTTGCCTTCATGTCCCTCCAACGCTACTTAAACACGCATGTGTTGTTTGGATAAAAGCAAATATTTAAAACAGGCAGGCCCACCTCATCAGGCAGAGGGAGAGATGGGATGGAGAGCGAGCCAGAAACAGACCCAGGGGGGAGGACGGTGTCAGGAGGGCCTGTTGAGGGCGCTCCAGGCCCCGCACCGACCCCGCTGAAGGCCAAATCCCACTGTGGACGCTGGTTCTGACAGACAAGGTGGAACCCACGCTAGCTTCAAGCTTTGCCTCCTGGGAAACAAGGCTGTCCGTTTCTTTCTACGTATTTTTTTTCCAGAAATTCTAACCTGTGAGTAGTGAAAACTCTGTGATAACTCTCTGTGGGACTCGCCTGGTGCCAGACGACCCGCTGAGCACCTGCTGCGAGTTCCTGCCCTCTGTCCTTCCGTCATCACCGCAGACCCGAGTAGCCCCCGCTGCCCCAGGTGGAAGCCTCGCCCTGGCTGGGTGTCCCAGACACTAGGGGCTCGCTCTGACGTTCCCCTCCCCACGCCTGTCCTTGACGCAGCAGGAGCCAGGATTCCTGGGAGACCTGGCAAAGGATGTGGGCCCACTTTGTGGCCCCCCAGGGGAAGGAAGCCCCTGTGTGGGAGAGACAGACGTCAGTGCCCTTGCCTTCAGGGCAGGGTCGCTCGGTGGAGTCCCAGGTGGACTCAGCCTAGGAGATCAGCGATGAACCAATGCGTGAAGGAAAGGTGGTCCACGCACACCAGGGAACAGCTGGACTTTTAAAAAAAGGAAAGAAAGAAAAAGGGAAAATCATTCCCAATGGCATGGACAGCATCAGTTATGGGAGAAGGAGGCTCATCCTCGTGTGGAATCTAAGGGCAGGAACCTAGAAGCCAGGGGAGAAGGTAGACGGTTCCTGGGGTTGGGGGCAGGGCGTGGACAAAGGCCAGACATCGGTTATCACGGACATTAATCCAAAAGTCAGGTTCCTTAACAATGATACATTGTAGGTTTCAAATAGCTGAAAGTGATTATTTCACTGTTCTCACAACAGACAAGAAGTCTTTGCAGTGACGTGCTAACTGGCCTGAGGTGCTCACTCCCAGCGCACACCTGAAGGAAACATCACGCTGTGCCCCCAAACCGTATACGAGTGTCACTATTGATCAGTTAAAAACAAAGCTTTAAAAAAAGAAGACACACTGTCTACGCGGGAGCACGGCAGTCCTCTGCTGAAGCAGGTGAGCACAGGACCCCTGCAGGAGGACAGGCGTGGAGGACCGGGCCCAGCATTCAGGTCCCCCATCCTGAGGCCCAGTCAGCTCTCACTCGATGATATGCGGTCAATCGAGTTTCTGCCACTTGCAACAAAGGGCGAAGGCAGCATCCTTGATGCAAACAGGTAAGTTCACGGAGAGCCTTTATCTTGTCCTGGAGACTAGATAATGAGTTTGTTCTTGGACACATGTAGGTAGAGATGCCCAAAGAAGGAGTGAATTCATACAGCAGCCCTTGGCTAAGATAGAGAAGAATCGATGATGTGAAAGGGAAATTAAATCTTAGGATGGATACTTGCACTAAGCAAGAGTGGGAGTGGGGTGTTCCTGGGGTTGTTCAGGCTCTCACATGTAGTAGGTACCAAGAGTCAATAAATGAACAGAGGACGTCCAGTTTTATGCAGGTTTCCCTAAACGGTGAGCAACATTTTAGCTTAAGGACATGTCATGCAATCTTTGGGACAAACTACACTAAGTTTTTTTTAAATTCTTTATCTGAATTTCAAACTTGAGTAGCTTATATTCTTTCAATAGTCTTATTAATAAGTCAGGCACCTCCATAAACCAAATAGCAGTTGAATTTCTGAGGCTACCAGTATCACTATTATTTCTACTCCTTCTTCTAAGAATGGTTTTTCCAAAGTGATGAGTAGATACAAAATGAACAAAAAACTAACGATGAGATAAACACCCACATGCCCACTGATCACTGGCTTAGGGAAGAGAGCTCTGAGTGGACCATCTTCCCCAGGCTGGTTCCTAGCTCCTCCCACAGACCAACCATCATTTTACGGTTTTTAATTAGCAGTCTGTTGAGTATCCTTCAACTGTTCAATTTGCCATCTCTGTATAATACTATAAAAACCATACAGCATGAGAAAGAACACAGAGAAGCCCGTGTAACTTCCAACCAGGTCCTGTACCCACTCACTGCTGCCTCCAGAGGTCCAGGGACTCCCTCAGTCAGACTCTGCTCCCTTCCCCTACAGAAAACTACATCCTGTGAAAACCATGTTTTGTATTATTATCTTCCTATGTCTGTGTGCGCGCAGGTGCATTTACGCGTACGCACGTATTTGCAGTGCTGGGGATTGAACCCAGGGCCTCATGCATGCCAGGCAAGCACTCTACCAACTGAACTTCTTAAACAAGGTAATTTAATTATACCTGTCCTGGAAATGTATAGAACTGCAATCC